GTTAAATCCAACTGATTATTAACAACTCCAATCATAAATTCAGAATTATAACTAAATGTATAATTTGAATTCAATAACATGGATAAACTATTATATGCTTCAATAAAATCATCATTAGAATTATCAGGAAAGTTTAATTTTTCCCGTTTTTCAATTTCTTTAGCTGCAAAACTAATATAAAGATTATTTGTATTTTCAAATTCTTCAGGATTATCAATTAATAAATTTTTTGAAGGATTTTTGATCTCTTCTTCAATATAATCATCATCATTTCTACTTATAAATGCCTCCGGTTGAAATGCTGTTAAATCATTAGAGATAATCATACTAAGAATATCTTTAGCTAATGCTGTTACTTGTTTATATGCTTCATGAATAACACCCTTAATATGATCATCATCAGGGTATTTTTTTAATTGTTCCAAATTTTTAGCAGAAATATTATATGTATAATGATTAATATATCCTAAAATTAAATAATTTATTAGTAAATATTATAAAATTTAAATTAGATTAAATTAAAAAATACATACTAACTCCACTTGTTTTTTCATGATCTAATTTTAAACAATTAGAAGAATAAGCTTTATATAAATATGAAATTTTAGGTACTAAAGAAACCAAATCATTAAATGTAAAATCAGAAATAAGTTGTCTTACAAGTCCAAAAAAATGTTCACATCCTTCAGAACCATACATCTAAGGAGTAAATAGAAAAGCTGAATAGTAATCCCAATATGCTATAACTAATAAAATCTAAATATAAAAAAAAAAGTTTAAATTTTTATTAATTATAAAAAGACAATTATTATAATATTATTATAATAATATTTACCATAGATTCTGCCAAACTAGTTAAAATATTAAATGTTTCAGATGCGAGAAAGTTTTTTTGAAGACTTATAAAATTAGAATATATTGATGAAATATGTTGAATATGATATTTCCAATGATGTAAAAAAAAATAACCAAGCATAACCATTCTACATCGTTCAAGAGGTGAAATTTCCCGATTTTGAAAAGCATCAATTAATTCTCCTATTTAAAAAAAAAAAGTAGAATAATTAAAATAAATTTTCAAACTAATAATATTTTAAAAAATAAACATACCAATAATAAAAATATATACAAATATTCCTTATTTTGATTTATCTAAAGAAGTATTCTTATCAAAGATTTGGTCCAAAAATGAAGAACAAAAAAGATGAAATACTGCACCATCATCTTGACGATCAACATTTAATACATCTTGAGAATATAAAATGCTATCAGGTATTTTACTTAATTCTAAAATTTGATCATATCGTACTGTACAATAACCTAATATTAATAATCTTGTTCCTGAAAAAATGGCATTTCGTGCATCTTTTCTAGCATGTAATGGATCAGAAATACGAACAATTGGTCTAACATTAGGATAAATAGGAGCATTAAAATGTATATCTATAATAATTAGATAAATTAAGTTAAATACAAATATTAAATAATTATTTAAATTTAAATAATATTACTTACTATATAAGTCATCATCAAATTGAATTCTATCTTCTGTATTTATTTCCATAAGTTTTTTTTGTGCATTAAATTCTGATGTTGCTCCATCAGCACCAAATCCTAAGATAGAAATTTTTAATTGGACAGCTATATTTAATAAATTCTCATGCATTTCAAAAATAAAGCTAGCATTTTCTCGATTTTTGTTTGGTAGTAATGCAATCACAATTGGAGAAAATTTTGGAAGTGGTATCTAATTATATTAAAAATTAATATTGATTTTTTTTAAATAAAAAAATTAAATAATTTTAT